TTAACAGATAACGAAGAAAGTGACGATTATGATATTGAAGAATCAGCAAATAGTGAAAAAAGTGATAATGATTTTAGTGAATTTACGAATAATAATGAAAGCAATAAATTAGTAGATAATGAAAAGAGCGATTATAATTCTGAAAGTGACGATTATAATATTGAAGAACTAGCAAATAGTGAAAAAAGTGATAATGACTTTAGTGAATTTATGAATAATTATGAAAGCAATCAATTAGTAGATAATGAAGAGAGCGATTATGATTCTGAAGCTAAAAGCTTATCAAGTTTGGATGCTGATAAAACAACGATTAAAGAATTATTTGAAAAAGTATTTATAAATGATGGGCTAACATGCAATTCCCCGATGGAAAAAGCTTATTATTCTGCTCAAATATTTTCATTATTATGCTTTAAATGTGGTGATGCTGATATTGTTACTCCAATTCCGGCTACCCAATACCCATTATATACAGAATGTACACAAAAAGGTGTCAAAACACCAACTCGTGGCAAATCCTTAAAATTTACAGCACGTATTCACAAAGTAAAAAAAAACAAAGAAAACAAAAAAAGGTTAGTATAAAATCAAATATTTAAATCAAACTATAATTATATTAAATATTAATTATATTGTTATTTTATAGATAGCTTAATAATTAACCTTTAAAATAACCCATTTATGATAAGTCCGCTTGTTTTATAATTAAACATATTGAATATCTGCTTATATTATGGTATTTAATAGTTCATAATCATATTGCTGAATTACGCTTAAACAATTCTTATGTCTTTATATTTGAATTGGACAAATGATGATTTTTTGACTCAGATTCACTAAAATCATTAAAATAAATATTATTATTCTCATTTTAAAACAAATTATTATTATAAAAAAAAAAAAAAATTTAAAGTTTTTGTAAAATTTTGGTCGGCGGGTAATGTAAAACAAAAAATTAACTTTGCATGGCCTTATCGCATTAAACACGTGATTATTACCTTTAACTGATTGGTTAAAGATAAATTTATAGATTAAATATATAGGAGGTCCTATTAATAAAAATTGATTAATAATCAACCGATTTATAAATTAACTGATTTATAGAAACAGTTCTCTTTTTAAAGATAACAATGCTTTTAAATAAATACTCTCAATACAAAAATAATTTTTATGAAAGTGAAGAGAAATTTTATTGCATTTTTTGCAAATGCTTTGTTGATCATCATAAGAAATATAACCTAGATTCACACTTAAAAACTAATAAACATAAAATGCAAAAACAAATTACCAAATCTAGTAATACTGAATCTAGAAAAACTTTACTAAATCAACAAAATTTAATTATGCTTTAAACCCAAGTAACTGATAAACAAGAAATTAATGCTGATTTAATTAAGGCTTTTACAAAGGCAGATATTCTTTTAGAAAAAGTTAAAAATTAAAACCATTTTTACAAAAATATTGCACAAATAGTATTTATATTTTTTTTTAAAAAAAAATATAAAATATATAATATATTAATAAATTTAATTTATTAGGCAATTCAATCGTAAGTGCCTGTCAGCTTCGACAATAATATTTGCCTCTTGTTTATGACATTAAACTAGAAAAGTTGCACATTTTTATTTGAAATAAAAAAGTTTGTATTACTGTTGATGAGACAACTGACAAATATGGAAGAAATGTTGTTAATATACTTTTTAGTTTTGATAATTTAATGAAACTTGTAAAAACTGAATTTCTTACAGAAGTTTACTTTTTTACTATTTTGCAATTAGTTATTTCAATGATTTCTTCTTATAACTTGCCCTTTGAAAATATTATTTTATATATTAGTGATAATGCAAGTTATATGAAGAAATCATTTTCAGATATTTTGTTGTCATTAATTCTACAAATATGACATAATACTTGCTTTGCACATATATATAATTTGGTTGAAAATACATGGTTTGAGTATGATAAATTTCAAATTATAGATAATGTTGTTATGGCATTAAATCAACATTCACTTATTTAGCTTCTAGAAAATGATATTAGTTAAAACATCTTTCGTCATATGTATTAAATGAAGATATTCGATTAACATTACCTCTGTCACCTGTAAAAACCAGATAGTTTTCCTGGTTTCAGTTTATTATTTGGATGAAACCATATTTGAAATACTTAATTACTTTTTATCAAGAAAAAAGTAAATTACCCAATTCTTCAAAAGCTATTATTAATCTCACGAGCTGGTTTTCTAATCTGGATATAGTTATTCATATTGAATTAATTACTATGTTTATTACATTTAATAGAAAACAGTAAGTATAACAATAATATATATTTATATTATATATAATATATATATACAGTATATAATTTATATATAGTATCATTATTAATACATATTTCATATAAAAAATTTTTTTAGATTAATAAATAACTTAGAAATTTTCCAAACTAGAAATAATCCAGTTGCATTAAGTGTTTTCTTCTGAATTCAGCAAATGCAGAAAATGCTTCAAAACAGAATAACTACACCACTACTCTCTAATGAAATGATTATCTACATAAGCCAAAAACAGTTAAATATTCACTATTTTAAAGAGCTTTTTGAAAAAGCATTTAATTTGGCATATAACAAATTTACGAAGCATATTAAACATTATAATGCACTACCACTTTTTAAAAGTATTCAATATTTTAACCCTTAATTTTTTTGTGGTGATATTTTATAACATAATTTATCAATTTATGCAGATATTTTCAAATTTAAAAATCTATCCAACTAATTAATTAATGAGTGGAATACATATTGTAATATGGTAAAAAATTTTGGGATTAGTGTCGGGTTTGATTTGAAAAAGTATTGGAAAGACAAATTATATACATTACTGGTACTTTCAAAAATCACCTTAGTTTATATTTGGATTCCTGTTTCGGGTGCAGATGTTGAGCACTCATTCTCAAATTACAAGCATATTTTAGATGATAAATAGAGGCCTTTTACTAAAAAAAATATTGCATGGTTAAATTTTTTATATTTTAATGAGCATGGTTTTAGCAAAAATAATATAAATAATTTTTAAAATATCAATTTAGTTTGTAAATTAGATGCCAACAGCATCCTGTAGCATTATACTGTGAGTTTATAAAAAAAACAAAATAAAATAAAAATTGCTATTTTTGCTAATTATACAAATTTTACTAGCTATTTTTGCTAGCTATATTTGCTATTAATGACCACTAGCTCTGGTTCAATTATACTATAATTCTGATCTAATGATCTGGATCCTGCTTAATACACATTTTCTACTGTATTGTATAGCAAAAAAAATTAAATATTTATATATAGTATACACACCCAAAACCAATTCTGTCAAAGCTGATAACCTGTTATACCTGATAAAAAATGATCTACTGTTATAGCCAAGAGAGAAACCTTGTATCAACATAGCCAATTCAGTTTAGGGCTATAAGCATTAAGGAGACAGAACCAAGTATTTATTTATTTATATGAGATACTAAAAGTATCAAACTGACAGATAAGCCTTCTTTACTATACACAAAGTCCAAGAGGTACTCCCAGAGTACTTTCTACCAATTTAACTAACCAAAGAACCAACTTATCAACCAAAAGACTAAAAGACCTTCTAACTATCCCTTTCTCTTTTCTCTTTTATATTCTATTCCCT